GAGGCTGGACCTAGTCGAGAATGTGGCAATGAGTGGATTCTCGACTATCTGCTGACCAGTGATGCACACAGTACTCTCTCACTAAGCGTACATAAGACACTAGGGCGCTGACCCTTGAATCCACGTAATGTGCGGTAAAGACAGGTTCAGGCCGTATTCGACTTTGTTCGAATTATACAAAAAAATTCACAGTTGCAGTTAATGACGATTCTTTGAAGTGCTGCAAACAAGCACCTTTTTTTTCCCAAAACCCTAACTGACATTGATTCTAAACACCAATAGTTCTTATGTGACTATAGACTGAGATGCGGAAGTTGATTTTATGTTAGAGGACAGCGCATGGGTCCAAAATATTTTCAGCTACTTGCACATATGTATATAGCTAGAAATATTTACTGTATAAATATATTAAGTACAGCAAATACGACATTATAAAATCATACATGGTAAAATATACAATATGTGCAGTATATTTTTTATTTCATCAATTTTCATCTTGTGCCCTGATGCGCTTCGCTATTTAAAGTATAGGTGAGCTTCAGATTTACAATATTTTTTTTTTTTTTACAATTTTGCAGCGCTGTCGCTTTGGAAAATTCGTCCGTTGAAAAATCTGAGTGACAGTTGTATCCGTTTTTCGATCTGCGCAGTGAATAGCGAGGTGCACAAAACTTGTGAATTTGTTAGCGTGCCTTCTCGCAATTTGCGACAGTTCTGAAGGATGGAGGAAGTGGAGTCGTCATCGGAGGAGTTCCCTGCAAAGGTTAACTCGAAATCCACTAAAAAAGTTTTGAAATTTTGCTGAGTCGCAGTAAAATCTTAGCTTCGGGTATCGTTCACTGTGAACTGCTGGTGTGGTGCTTTGCCCAAACACTATTAACTCCAATTTTCTCTCATTTTCCTTTGCTTTTCTTCTCATCCCCGTTTTCTGGGGCTTTTCTCGGCCACGTTTTTTACGTTGTCCTTTCGGTATTTCCCTCTTACCTGCGCTTCTTGCGAGAACATTATCCAGCCAATTTGGTGCCTTGGAAAGGGCCTTTGTGCCTTTTTGATTTTTTTTTTTAAATCATGTGTTAAAGTCCGATAATTGCTACATTTTTATTCCAGAAGGCGATGGTCGTCGATGAAGTAGAGCAGCTGGATAAAGGACGCGCTGAATTGGCGCAGTATATACTCTATACACAGGTAACTGCTGTTATTTTTTTTTTTTTCACTCTATTTATGCTCCACAGTTACGCCCATTGTGGTGCTTTTCGAAGAAAACTGGGGCACTCGGATGGCCCTTTCAGCATCTTTTAGCGTTCTTAAAACGATCTTGCGATTCACTCTTCTGAATTTGTTTATTTTGTTCAGTTTGGATTTCCGATTTCTCGCGGCGTCATTTTTGTTAATTTACATTTTTTGAGGGGGATGCAGCTTGAAAGTCTTTTTTTGAGTTACTTTCCTCCATTCTTTACTGCTGTATTAACTGGCACTGCTTGGAGGCTGCCGAGCAATCACAAATCGGTAACGAGGAAAATGAGGGTATGCGTGTGGTTTTTGTACTGTGGTAGAGTGAGATCTCTACTAAATATCAAAATGCATCTTCCCTCATTATTTTGTTTTTGCGTTATTATCAATTACCTGAATGCTCTGAACACAAAACTTTGTCACTTTCCAGTGCCGAGGAAAAGGTTGCATCAAGGAAGCCGAGGTGAGACAGGTGCTTTCGAAAATCCGAGCTGGAATGAAACGATCCCGGTGTATTGACCGAACTGTTGAATATCTCGAGGGATTTTTTGGCATTAAGGTACTTCTTTTTTTTGGCATTAAAGTTGATTTTTATCCTAAATAGCCCCGAGTTCTGGTCCTAATTCTCAGGCCCTCACGGTGCATTTTTGATTGATCCAAAAAATTGCTGGTTAATTACTAGCTTAATTCAAAAATTGCTGGTTAGTGTGCACAAATTAATGTCCTTTGTTACCCACAAGGCGCGTATTTTCGAAACACAAATTATTAATCTGAGCTATATCTTAACACAACTTTTAAGGTGTCAAAAGTGGAAACCTTGCAAGGATTCCGCTTATATATCGGAAATGCATTGGAAACAAACAACGATGAGGCTTATTCTGACATAAAAAATAGGCGATCAGATGAGGTTATGCTAAACATATATTTTTTCACGTTTTTTGTACCTCTGATTTCTCCGAAGATAAAATCCTCCCATATTTTACCCTCTCTAAAAATGGAAGCATTTAAAAGTAGCTCACGAAGGTGCATGTGCCAAAAGCAATCACTCGCCGACAAGACTGTCGTTGAATTTTTTTTTTCAAGTATGTTGAGGAAAAATTTGCATGTAGCAGTACCAATTTGCCATCGAAACGAATGAACGAATTGGTGAAGGCTTGGTTTCTCACTGGCTGGCAGAGTTTAACCCTTGACATTTGGCGTGAGAAGAGCGCCATTTGCCAATTACATCAAGCTCCCAAGACTAATGCTTACATCATGTATTGTCCTATACTTCTGTGACTGATTTTATATTCGTTTCGTTTTGTTTAGCGTAATTCGTTTTCAGGAAAAAGCAAAATACGGAGTGCTGATTGCAGTGCTGATGTTTATTTACATGGTGCGTCGTCCAGGAGCGCAGACTTATGCTGTTTCGGAAAAACTGTTACAGAATTTCTTAGTACGTTGCATAAATATAGCGAAATCAATGACTCTCAAGCCTACTTCAGTTTCCGTGTCAGACCTTAAAGAGTGTCAATTTTTCCAT